GTTCCCTTCTTACAACCGATTCTGTCTGGATTTGGAGTCTGTTTAATATTCGAGTGAGGCCAAGACGCACTGTGTGAAGGGATCAGCGAGACCTGGGATTTGATTGTTTATTTTTTGGTATTCTGCGTATGGTGTCTGAGTGCCCTGAAGGTACAGATTCATTAGGTGAGTCCCCCTCAGGTGCCGGTCGTGCAGGAGTGTTCCCCAGAATTTCAGATGAGCAGTTTCGCCCCTGTTGGTATTCCACAGAATCGCGCCGCTGACCTCTCGGGGTTTCAGGGGCTTGACGAAGGCAGCTTTTCAAATGACAAATTAAATTGTTTTTTTCTTCTTTCACTTCGTTGTTTTTCTGCTCCTGCGGTGAATGCCTGATGAGCTTTGCCTTCACTTCCTGTGTTTCGGAATGGTGATAAACATTAGAATAGGATAATCATTTAGGGCAGATGGCAGAAAAAAAGACAGACTTATAAAAGTCCTTAGAAAAGGCTGTTTCAAGTGAGTGAGTTGCAGGACAAGTTGCCTATCCCTGTTGAAGCCGATACCCTGGCTTTTCTCAAGACACAGCTGGATGAGACCCTCCAGTCAGGACAGAAGTCACTTCTTTACACTAAGGGTGGTGGGAGTGTGGAACAAGCGGGCCTACCCATATTGCACCCAATACCCTGGCTTCTCTCAGGAAACACCTGCGTGAGATCCTCCAGTCAGGACAGGAGGAACCTCTGTACACTAAGGGTGGTGGGAGCAGGGAACAGCCTGCCCCCTGCCCTGTTGTTGAAGCCTGGCTTCTTTCAAGAAACGTCTGAGCGCTCAGAGTTCCCCCCATTCTTTTGGAGTGCCTGTCTCATGTGCTTTAAAGCGTGGTTTTGGGGTTCAGCTGTCGCCCGCACAAACCCGGGCCACACCAGCCGGGCCAACTGTAGCACAGACTCCCCAGACAGCTGAGCATCAAGTGGGCGTCGCCGATCAGCATATCCAAATCGGGTGCGCGGGTGTATAGGCAGGTGAGATTCTCAAAACAATTCAAAACTCAGCTGGCAGCTGGTGCAGAGACCCCAGGCCAGGAGTAACACTAGACAGGGCCCTGTCTGCTGTGAACCATCTGCAGTTCAAAGCATCGACTGCCATTGTCATTTCACATCACAGGCACACACAGCGTGAGGCCCTTAGAGCTCGGTGGTGGGATGGATCTGTTTTTCCTTTCTAAGCCGTTAATGCCAAAGATCACAACACAAGTGCATGGGAGAGGGCCTGGTTGCAATTTGCGAGTTTTATTAGGAAAATACACATCAACGTACTGTATCTATAGGATAACATCTAGACAGCTTTGTTACACATACAATTCCTGCATCGGTCACAGCGCGCCGCAAGGGGGAGAAGATGGCACTCTGACAGCCAGGTGTGAGCTGGCCTCTTGGCTCACCGCCTCCTGGGAGACACAGAGGTCAGGGTGCTCCTGGCGTTCCTCGTTTCCGGGTCTCGCCACGTCAGCTGCTGCGCGCCAGGGTGGCTGTCCGAAGTCCACAGCCCTCGCCTGCCGGAGTCCACATGGGTGACAAGCTGTCCAGCCAGGCTGTTGGAGCTGATACCCTGGTTTCTCTCGAGACACAGCTGGGTGAGATCCTGCAGTCAGGACTTGAGGCACCACTTTACACAGAGGGTGGTGGGAGTGTGGAACAAGCTGCCCAGTTGTGTTGCTGAAGCTAGCACCCTGGCTCCTTTCAAGACACAGCTGGATGAGATCCTCCAATCAGGACAGGAGGCTTTACTTTACACAGAGGGTGGTGGGAGTGTGGAACAAGCTGCCCAGCCATATTGTTAAAGCTGAAGATCAATTGGCTAGTAGACAAAAGAAACTCCATGATGTCCTTAAACAACTCCCCTGCTGTTATGTAATTACTACGCTCCCCTGCTCTGAAGGCTTGTAGCCGCGCGGGTAATTAGGGGTGTAATCACTCTGTGGTTTGCCATAACATCCTTAGCTTTTTGCTTCACTTCAGGTGGAAACCTGGGATCGTTTTCTTTATTTACAGATCGTTCCAGGATATATCTTGGGACATTGTATCCTTGCACGATAGAGGATGGAAAAAAAGAGGTCAACAGCTCATGCAGTAAGTAATGATTCTTGAATGTCAGTGAAGCATGTTCTTATGTCCCTGTTCTCCAGCTGTTTTTTTTTTTTTTCGGGATTGCAGGATTGCTTTTTAAATCCGGATCCTCCTGGATTTGACCTGCCTGGGGACTGGTCAGCCTTAATCACCACTGTACTGTGCTTTTACCCCGATCTCACTGGGCTCTACTGCGCTGTACTGT